GTCAAATTGCCGCCCACTCGCCCGCAAGCCCCTCCTCAAAGGAGGCGGGGGGAGAGCGAGAGTCAGTTTCAAGGTGTTTCAACCCCCAAACCGAAATTGTGCGTTTGGGAGGCTTGCATTGCGTACATATGTTTCCTATTCCTAGCTTTGGGGTTGGTTTTTCGGCTTTTGTGGTTTCAGCTTCTTCGAGTTTTCCGGCTTAGCTTTTCTGCTCAAGTTCAATGACCTTGCAATTTTCTTTTCACTTTCTTGACACAAAAATTTCCTTTCCTCTTTTGGCTCGCATTTCCCTTTTTGGTTTGAGACTCGAGGGTGGATTCTCTGCCTTCTCTGTCTCCTTTGCGACGATTGACATGCGCATCATTTGTTTTTGAATCGAGGTCGAGGGGCAAAAGGTTTTCTTCCATTTGCCCCAGGGCGGGTTGACAACATTTTATTGTCTTATTGGCAAATATTTTGGTTTGTTTGCTTTTAATTTGGGGAGCACTACCCCAGCGACAGACCGGCCGGCCGGCCGGCATAAGGCAGAACATTTAATGGCTTTACGGAAGCTAAGACAATAATTTGTTTGAGTGGGAGTCTAAGGATTTGATAGGCTAACAAATTATTTAACTGCCAGCTACCTATTTATACTTAAATATATAAATTTTTTTATATTTAACTGCTTATTAAATATACATAGCAAGTTTTTGAAACATTTGTAAGCGTATGCAATTGTTTAACTGTTAGTTAAGCCTTGATATACAGCTATTTATAATATTAAGTTCGTCAGTCAAAAGTCTTCATCAAATAAATTGTGTGAACTGTTTTGAAAGATATCTTAAAATATGATTATCCATGTCCCACTATATAGCTCTATTTCGTATAGTCTTATAGCCGAGTCCAATAACTGAAATTAAGCTATAAGTCAAGTCAATATACCTCATTATTAACTGTTTGTCCAATATATAATATTTCGCATTTATAGTCATTTTTCGGTGAAAAACTCACTTCTCTTCACATACACCCTCTAATAATGTTCTAAGTAACTCATTTTTAGATGTTTGCCTAATAAAATACATTCATGTTTTACCTCTAGCATTATCAATTTCTTACATCTATTTAGTATAAACAGCGCTCAGTTCTTCTTGGCCAAGTTTATCTCATTCAACACAACTCCATAAATTACCCTTCATTTCCTCTGCTTTGCTGCAAACAAATTCAAATTACTCCAAACTTCAACGCGTACTTTTCGATCAATTGCCGTAAATAAACATTTCGAGAGTGATATCTAAGTGAATTACTTCGCCCAATCACAACAATGCTCCACTCGTCCGCCCCAAAAAAATTAATGTGATCCCACATCCATAATATGGCATGTGAAAAGCTTCCCCAAAACACGATCGCCCCAACAAATTATTGGTGTGTACGCCCCCGTACCCCATACCCTCCAGAATTATAGTTGAGCTACAAAAGCAGCGGAGCTGCGGGTAGAACAACCGAAAACAATAAAGAGCATAACACAGTACAGAAGAAAAACCAAAAAAACACAAGAGCAAAGAGGAACACGAAAATGCCCCGCACATGTTCACGAACTTATCTAATACTATGGATACCGTTACTTGAGGTCACTGGCCCACACAGAGACCTGCACTTGTGTATAACAAACAGACGACAGCACGCACAAAACGCATACACACACACACACTCACACATGCATACGCACGCTCTCTTGCTCACACGCTTAAGCCGAAAAGCAACAACAATTTTCGGTTATGTCATCCCAAAAAATGTCCAATTGCTGGGAAATTAACGTTGAGTGTTTTATCATATTTGAGTGCAACGCATTTGAGCGTAAGTCGCGTGCGTAGGGAAATTTTGGTGGCGATTAATTTTCGAGGGAAATTTCTAATGCTTTGAGTGTTGGTTTATTTTTGTGGGTAATTCCTCTGTTGCTGCTGAGTGATTTTAGCTTAAGATTTTATGCATTGAGTAATGTTATAGTATATTAAGTAATATTTAGATTTTTAATTTATAATTAAATAATATGTGAAGAAATGTTATTAACAGTTTAAATTGAATTTACATAAATATAACTGCCATGTAAATTTTATTTA